TTTATTGTGCTATGTACTAGAATTATAATTAAACAAAGTCATTTTAAAATTATATAAACATGACACTAAAATTACTTGTTTTAATATAATATAATCAAAATAAACCAAATAAATAACAAGAATTACACAAAATATTTAAATAATTTTAAGTTTAAGTTAATTTGGTTTAAAAAGAGAGCTGACATTCGAAATTCTCATCCAGGACAGTCCCAAAACGAATTCCTGTCCGGATTTTCATTGCTGAGTTGCTTAAATCTACAGCAACAAAACATATATTTGGCATGTTTTATGCGTATTGAGAGCTCAGCCCTCGCAAATTTATCTATGAATATCTATGTATGTGTTCAGACACTCAAACACACACACACTCACGCCYGCTGTATATGCACTTTAATGTAAGCAAAGCAAGTCAGGAATAGAAGCTACTCAAGCGGAAATGCGCATAACTGCATCACAGTCACTACATACACACATGGCACACACACACACACACACACACACATACGCACAGTCTGCACAGTCGAAGCTCATAGAGCTGAGGACTTAAGTAACCGCCCTGCCCATCCCTGCCAGCCAATGGCAATGGCAATGGATGCGTCTCTTGCCTCTTTGAGTTCCTAAGTGCTGCTTTATTAACCAGGAGACGACAACAACAACCACAACAACAACCACAGCAACAAAGACAAGGACTAAAGCATCGACCACTTTGATGTGGACGATGGCCACAAACAAGCAAACAAGCAAACAAAACAAAACACAGCCAAACAACAACGGCGACAGCAGCAAGCATCAAGTCTCCTGCTAAAGTTGACTTGGCCCAGCTACCCCAAATGGCGTTTCAATTATGCAATAGTGCATCCGATTGAATTACAACCAGATCCAAATTACATTAGCCGACTAATGGCCAATTCCACGGCCAGCAGCAGCCAAGGCAAAACACATGTCAAAGCAATATAATTAGATGTAATTACGGGCTGCGGCCCCAGCGATCAGTTTTGTTTTAACTATGAACGAATGTAGAACATCTTGGAGCGCTCCAAACAATGGCATCGTGAAATATTTTCTACTACTACTGCTGCGGCTGCTGCTGCTGGAGAGTGGAGCTGTGCAAGCAAAAATTTACACAAATGAGCCTTTGTAAGTGCCATTGCAAGTTAAGTTTGTGTATAGCCAGGGCAATTGCCTGGGGCCCCTGATTTTAGAGGGTCTCCGAAAAACGAGAGAAGAATGAACGTGAAAGAAGGGTGCACCAAATTGTTAGTTGCCTACGGCCTTTTTGAGGGTTGATCCGGGCCTGAGTATAACTATAAGTAGAGTTATACTGAATATAAGTATAAACACATTCGATCAGTTTAGATTCGAATCATTCGAATTATTCGAATCATTCTTCAAATACAAAATGTAGTTATAACAGATTAGAGTACTCCAATTGGGCGTGTTCGACTACATCACGCTGATCCATATTATTTATATAAA